AGCTCGGCAAACGCACCTTCTAGATTCACCCATCCTGCGTGGAAAGGAAGCACGGGCATTGGTTGGTGTGCTGAAAAAGCCAAGTCAAACTTGCCCGAAAAGGCAAGTCTTCCTGATCGGGTAACATAAACCTCGGGAAGTGCCGAAAATTGCTTTGTCGGTGGAGTCCCTTTTCGCTTGCCTTGCCCATTCCCGTTGGCTACACGACTCTGGGCTGGCGGATGTTTTCCTACCGCCAAGCAGTGGGGTCCTACCCTTAAACCTTTTAAGACTGAATCGCGACGTGCTTGTCGAGAGGTGCAGGAAATCGCTATTGATCTCCATTTCTGCATCGCCACTTACAACCTATCCACATTCAGGCTAGAGGGGCCTACCCACATCTTTTAAGGTATTTTTACCCTATATGTGAACTTTTACGGGGTATTTTGCAGAGTTGCAACTTAAAAAAAAAAAAAAAAAAGAGTGGGGGGATGGAGGGAGGGAGGAAGAGGGGACGGGGAAACAGGAGAGGAATAAAATGCCATCGTCTTCCCCTGAACACAACACATCCTCACACTAATCATGACTGCATCGGATCAGAAAAATAGCTTGTATACATGCATGATCAGGGTGCACTGCATTCAAGACAGTGGTACAAACAAGCAATAAGAGATACACTGACCTAGACAAGAAGTGATAGCTGAGTTGGTTAGAGCTCTGGTGTTGCAACTGGGAGGTTGCAGGTTCAGTTCTCTCTGCCCTCCACCTTCTCGGTGCACCATTAGTTAGTCCTAGATTGGCACCCCACATACTTGTCCCGCAGCCTAGCACAGCACAGATGAGACGTTGTAAGACACCGGATTGTTAAGGGGAGGAGCTCTACATCACCGGGCGCCTGTAGGGGGCAGGGTGTCTCCGGCGGGTGGGTGTGAGAGCACCGTTCTGCAGAGGCAGCATCATGGAGGGTAACTATGTCCTTGGAGGGAGTGAGTGCAGAGTAGTAGAGTGGTCTACCCTGAATCCCGGAGCGCTATATGTAGGGGGGCAGGGTGTCTCAGCGGGGTGGGCATGAGGGCACCGTTCTGCAGAGGTAGCATCATGGAGGTCGACTATGTCCTTCAAGGGAGCCAGTGCAGAGTAGTAGAGTGGTCTACCCTGAATCCCGAGGAGGCGGGTGGGGTTGCAGGGTCTGCACCCATACCAAGGCTAAAGGGTGTGGGCCCCTGCCGTGCGGGTGGCAGGGTTGGTCTACTGCGTTAGGGAGTCGTTGGGACGAGGAGGGGTTGAGCAGTCGTTGGGATGAGGAGGTGGGTGGGGTTGCGGGGTCTGCACCCATACCAAGTCTGGAGGGTATGGGCCCCTGCTGTGCCGGTGGCAAGGTAGTTCTACTGAGTTAGGCAGTAGTTGGGATAAGGGTGGAAGGAACATCACTTTGCAAGGTAGTTCTACTGAGTTAGGCAGTAGTTGGGATAAGGGTGGAAGGAACATTGCAAAGGCATCATCATGGAGGGCGGTGATGCCCTCAGGAGGGAGTGAGTGCAGAGTAGGCACGTGGTCTACCCTGAATAGGGAAGGGAGGGGAAGGGGTGGGTGGGGCTTGTGGGGCCCACACCTGTATGGAGGGGTGGGTGTGGACCGCTGCTGCACCCGTGGCAGGGTAGAACGTTCTACCCGGTTAGGCGGCACATTAGACAACCAATCCCGTGGCACAGACCCATATGGTGGAACAGACATACACAGACTCACAGCAGACATGCAGACTCACACATTACAAGGCTAGGACTCCAGGGGGGCAGCCCCAAATGCAGATGGACCATACCCACACTGCAGACCACAGACTTATACGTACTATACAGAATCATCCAGACCTGCAAAGATTCATAGAGAACGCAACCAGGCTAGGATCTCGCTGCTATATTAATGAATACATAAGCATGCAGGTGCTTAGGGTAGGGCTCTCGTAGGTTAGACCTTGGTCGGATGGCCATTAGATAGCTCAAAGTAGGCATGGACCCCGTCGAGATGGACACTCTTGGGTCTACTCATGAGGCTGGTAGTATTAGATGCACGCCCAACTCTTCGGTCTACTCACGAGGCTGGTAGTAATAGATATACGCCTACCTTCTTCCCCCGAATACAACGTACGGTCATCATAGCTGTATTTGAGGCATCTTTCAGTCTAGATACAGCTATAATGACCGTACGTTGTATTCGGG